CGAGAAGGAATAAAACAAAATGGGAAAGAATAGGATAAGACGGGATAGGACAGGACTAAACAAAACAAATGGAAAGTAACATAACATAACTTATTCCCATAATCTTTATTTAATTAATATACATATGATATTTTTGAAATATAAAACTAAATTACAAAATTTGATATCTTTAAATTTTCGTTAAATACATTAATAATACCGTTATAAAATTTGGCGCGAAGCGCGGATCATTCCCTAGTTTATATTGATAAATAAACAAGTCAGGTATATCATTTGGAAATAAACAAACAAACTTATGTCAGTATTTAAGTATCCCACCAGAAATATTTTCCTAGAAAAGGACAAACCTTAACAAAAAAAGAGTTCAATAAAAATCTCGTCACTGAAGACCAAAGAAGCGACGCGTCAAGTCATCGTGACCGTTGAATCGTTGACTAGACAACCAAAACCAACGGCGGAGTCTTTTCGTATTCGGTCTGGTCGGTCAAAGAAACAAAATCCCTTTTTTTGTCCCTAGAAACAGAGAATGAAAAAGCAGAGAAGAAATAATTAAAGAGTTACACTGAGCTATTTTTAGATTTCAATGTCGAGAAGACGAAGTAATCGTGTTAGAAATTCTAAAGCCGTCACTGCTCCTGCTCCTGCTCCTGTCACTATAATTGATGGTAATTCCTTTCTACCCACTTTTTGTTTTCTGCGGTTTTTTTCTTAATGATTTTTGATGTTTTTGGTATCAACAATTTTGGGACTTAGGGTTTTGGCGATGCGGTTTTATCTTAGAAGAGTGTTTCTTTTAATTTAGCTTAGAAAGATACTTTCTTTGACAATGTGAATCGTATAAACTATGCTGGAATCTGTTTCAGGCATTGGCCTTTTGTTTGTTCAAGTTTTGGGATTTTTGGTGATCACTTGAAACAAAGTTTTGATTTTTGAAGTTTTTAGAGAATTTGGGTTTTCATAGCTAATCTCATGTTTGATCAAAATGCATACTTTGTATACAGATTGTGAGGAAGATGAGTTTCTAAACCACAGGACGTGTTGGAAGCATATTGCTGCTTTGAATGCTCGTGGTTCTAAACCGAAACTAACCGAGGAGGAGTTGGAGGTTTATAAATCGATTGCACCTTGTTTCTATGAGGATTTCAAACGCCGTGAAAGGTCATCAAGAAGATTCAAGTGCAAGTATTTAGTCTCCAAGCTACGGAAGAAACTAAGTTCCAATACCTTTATAGTCTACCTAGAGTAAGCAATATAAGGAATTGTGCTTTTATATATGGTTTTCTCTTAATTAGTTTTTACTAATATTGTTGAATGATGTGAATAGGGAATTGTGGAGAGGTCTCTCGGATGAGAAAAAGAACTCTTTTGTGTTCTTAGATTGTCTATGGTTCACTATGTACAAAAGCGACCCGAGAGTGAGAAGCAGTGTTTTCAAATCGATTAAGAAGAAGCAGATCTTCTCAAAGAAATATGTGTTTCTTCCTATCGTTTACTGGTATGTTTATTTCACCTATATACTGTATGTTCTTGAAACGTATTCAAATGCAAATGTTTATGCCTGTTGTTTTCTTTTTGAAAATTTTCATCAGGAGCCATTGGACTTTGTTGATCTTTTGCAATTTTGGGGAGAAACTTGATTCAGAAACTGGAAACACATGCATGTTGTTTCTTGATTCACTAGAAACAACCAAATCTTGCAAGGAGCTTGAGGCAGATATAAGAAGGCGAGAACTCTCTTTCTTTCTTTCTTTTTTCATCTTGAGCAAAGAAGAATGATACATTTGTGTAGAACCTCGTCCAAATAACATGTTTGTGCTTCTTCTTTTATTACAGGTTTGTGTTGGACTTATACAGAATTGAAGGGAGGACTGAAGATAAAAGCTTGGTTGATGAAATCGAGCTCATTGTGCCAAAGGTATTGAATGAGTGCATCTACCAAGTCATTTCGGATTTATCGATGCTTATATCTCATACTTGGATCGACTTATCATCATGATCTCAGGTTCCACAGCAGACAAATGATGTGGAATGTGGAAGCTTTGTCCTCTACTACATTCAGCGGTTCATGGAAGATGCCCCTGAGAACTGTATCGCCGAAGATTACTCATCTTTTGTAAGTTTTATCAATTCAATAAAACATTTTCTCCTTGTTATCGAATAAGCGGGTTTTATTTTTCGGGGAATCTTAAAATGCTTGTGCGGTTTGGTATATATTTGCAGATGAACGAGGACTGGTTTAGCCATGAAGACTTGGATGAGTTCTGCAACAAGCTTGATTCTTTGGGAACCATTCGTTGTTCGAAGTCTTAACCTTTTAACGGTTTTAACTCATTAGCATAGCGCAGAAGATTAGTTCCATCTTGGAATATGAGATGATGAAGTTAAAGAAGTTACTAGTTAGTATGGAATCTCAAACTTCATCAGGAGGAATCTTTGGCTGCCTGTTATTATTTATGTTTTGTAGCAGCACCCAAATGATTTTGTATGTGAATGGAAGAAGAAAAGTGGCTCTCTTTTTAGCATCCCTATAATCGTATCTGAAGTTGTGTTGTAGTCGTCAGCTACTGAAATGGTTTGCATACGTCACTTAAGGCTAAGAGAGAAATCAATTTGTTATTTGGCTCCGTAATCAGGAACAAGGCTTATCAAAGTTCAAAACTTTTATTAGATAACAAAAATCGAACCAACATACAATAAGATATTTTTAGTTAAAGAAACTTTGCTATACATGAGTTCATAGCCAAATTAATGGGAATGAAGTTTCTAGAGATGAACATTAGAAGAAGGAAGTTGGATTGATGTAAGCTTAGAGATAGCAGAAGGTAAACTTATGTTCATCGGTCCAATGCTGCTGCTGCTACTCCCACCGGTTGATTCTAAAGCTCGGGAAGTTTGGAGAACCATCTCAGCATGGAGTTGGAGACATGACAAAGCCATCTAACACATAACAAAACACATAGGCTAAGCTAAACTGTAACTGTTGTTCAATCATGCTTAAGCTAATCAAAAACTCAAGACTCTTTATTTCACTGTGTAAGGAAGACATTACGACTGTATGGCTTACCGTGTAACAGTCTCGGTCGATGTCTGAGTCAGCTATTTGAAGAGCCCACGTTCTGATCCATTCAAGAGCTCTAGCAATTTCAAGATTTCCTTCAGCTAAGGATGAGACTACGTAAGAAGGGTGAAGAGCAACCAAAACTGAAGAGGCTGCAAAAAGAACAGCTCTTCGCACATAGGCTTCTGGGTGATTGCACACTTCCCTGTATTGAGTTTTTCAAGCATATAAGTGTTCGTTATAGGAGCAAAAGTCTATATAAAAGGTCTATACTGTAAAAAGTATGTCGTACCTGCGTTGTAACATATCTAGGAGAGAGACAGCTAATGCAGATGCTTCTGGATGCATCGATGCACATTGCATACAGACTCCGAGCATGTGAACAAGTTTCCCGAGGACAACAAAGTCCCTACCAAGTAAGTCTACGCCATGTCGTCTCTTGTCAAACTCTTTCATGGCTGGAAGCATAAACGCTGCTGCATATAGTGGGAACCTATTCTGAGACCAGTCAGTACTGTTTTGATCTCTGCCTCCTGATCTCAGGCTCCACCTTCGAGTTTTTCCTTTCTTAGTCTGTCCAGGCTTTGGCTGTAGCTCCCTCTCGAATCGGTTTGCCCAGTTCTGATGAAAAGATCCTGTCTCTGCAACCTTTTTCCATGGGGAACTCTCATTCCTAGGCAAATACCAGGGTTGAGGATCTGAGATATTCGATATCAGGGGTCCTCGTGCTTCGTGTTTAGGTTTCAAGGTCCTGGTATTAGCAAGCTCTCGAGCTGCTTCAGCCATGACATCAAGTATCATTATCCGCTGGCTTACGTCTACATTAGGCGAATACAAAATATTGTTGAGTGTGTCAAGGGACTCAAATGGACGGGTCACTAGCAACGCGATGAGAGCTCTTTGTCGCTTCTCTTCTGCTGAATCTTCTTCACCTTCAATTGTTATATCAGAACAGCGAACCTGCACAAGAGTTCGAGCAAGTTCGCTAGCTATATGAGTCAGTTCGTCAGGTGATGCTCGCACAAGTTTCTCTGCTACAGACAGAGCTTTCTCCACCTGCAACCAAGTATTATTCATATAGATTAGTCTTTTGTGTTTCTTCTTAATGAAAGAAGTTTTTAACGTAACAGACAATTATCTCCAGTGACGTACCCCATCAGCATCATCAGTTTTCCGCAGAGCTGCAACAACATCCACCAAATGGATATATTGTTTCCCTAAATCTTTGTCATCATCTAATAGATCATATGGCTCCAAGGAAGTGACACTTGAACCATCAGAGCTGACACTTGCACTATCATCACCATCGTCTTTATCACTCTCTGTTTCACAGTTTAAAGCAGCCAAATCAACTATTTCATCTGGATCAGCCAATACAAAATCGGATATGTTCTTGCTCTTGCGATTTTTCTTTTCCTTGTTTCTGCGGCAAGAGTCATTTACTTCAGTTAAGGAGGCTAATGCTTTGGTTTCACCGTCTTCATTTTCTGTCGAGTTTTTTATTGACCGGACCCCTCCCACAGCCGTTTGAAACTCAGATTCCCAGTCAATTGCATTCCCAGTAAATGAATCATCAAGGTACAGAAGATTCTTCGGGTCAATTACTTTAGAGAACACAAAGGCAATAGAGTTGGCCATTTTCCGTATCAAATCTCCTGGGTTCTCCAATCTACCTGTTGGCAATAATAAGCACAAGATTAAACAACACCACAGAAGAGTTTAAGTTCTTCTGTCTAGATACAGAGAGAGAGAGAGAGATGAGTGTATACAGCTAACTCCTTGAAGAATATTGTGCATTACATCCTTCGTTCTATCTAGCTCCTCTCTTGACATGTTCTCCAGGCAAAGCCCAAGAGCTGTAGTTATATCTGGAAAATATATTAAGGGAAACATTGCTTAAACAGTACGCCTACTAAAACCTAGAATATGTGATTAATTCATCTGCATAAACCCAAGTTTAAAAGCCAGAAGAGGATACATGCTTGCTGTTCCAATGGGACGGACTGCAGAAACTCTCTTTTTGACCAAACTGAAGCTATTCGCTGCGTTGTTTCGAGCAGTCCACTAGTGTTGTCGCCTTTAGCAAGTGCATTAGTAATTGGTGGACAGTCAAGAACCGAAAACTGTAAGATCCATCGCAAACAACGGATAGGGAACACTTTCCACAGCAAAAATTTGTCAACAAATATGGACCTGAGAAATAAAGTCTACAAAATTATTTGCAAAATAAACGCAACGGGGAATATAAAACAATGAAACAAGCTGGCAAAGAAAAGAGTTTGCTTGCCTCACAGATGCCTGCTGTTTTACATTGCGATGAAACAAAGTCCAAATAGTCCAGAAAGCTTCAACATCACTTGCATGCTTAGCATATAGCTGATGCAACAGTTGTTCAGCCATTTTCTCAACAGCATACGGATCTGTCACTGCCTCCATAGTTTTCGACCAAATCTGAGGTGTCGGGTCCAACTGAAATGTTTCAATTTCAACTGAACCATTCTTTGAGTTTAGCAACCTCCTAACATGGGCTAGGACATGAGGTGTTACTTCACTAAACAGCAAATCTGCAGATCAAAAACACAACCTGAAGAACATCAATGATTTTGTTTCATGAAAATGACTTCAATCAAAAACACATCTCGCACAATCCATAGCTTATCATCAGTACCAAGATAAAGATATTATGGCACATCCTTTCTTCTCTCCGTAACGAGAATCAAATCTACACTCTCCCAACTCCCACATTGAAGGGGACAGATAATGAATACGAGCAAACCCATGATATTTCACAAACCACATTGTAATGCTCGGAGCATATGTACCTGATAATCCACGTCGACAGATGCGGGAAAAAATTTCCCCAACAAATGATAAGACCATGACTGTGCTATCGGCCTCAGTGCAAGAAGCTCTGTCGTCCAATATTTGTAGAAGCTGCTTGGTGATGTGCTTGAAGTACAAGCTATGGAACTCAAGTTAAAGTCAAACACTAGCCTCAAAGCATTTGATAAGTAACATAAAAAGGTATCTAATTACTTTACGGAAGCTAAAACACATATCACTGAAGGCACTAGAGTCTGTGTGCGTAGAGAAAAAGGATACTGAGGAGAAAGTAAAGGCGGGGCTTTCAACCGAGCTTTATCAGGAATGGAGGTCAGGATCTGTGATATCCTGGATAACAAAGGCTTGACACTTCCATTCCTAGAATTCTCTCCTTCATAACTATCATCAATTTCTTTAGTTAACTTGAGCACTCCAGCATTTTCAAGCAAGCACAATATAAGCAACCTGTCATAAAAGCAAAATCACATCACTAACAGGCTAAGAACATACTGATGCTAGCATTTACATCAGCTACAGTCTAAACCTATCACTGGACATAGACTTATACACAGATAAACTGTTAATAGGGAAGATTGCCGCTTGGGCCATTTAGAAAAGGCCAAAACAGAAGAGTGTTTTTGTGCACCTTTCTACATTGGTCTGGACAGTATTGGCATCAACGCCACCATTTTTTTCCACATGATGTAGAAATGGAACCAAGGCCTGAATAACCTCGATAACAGGCCCATCTAAGAAGAACACATCATACAAATGTTTCTGCACTGAAATTGAGAAACAAGAAAGCCAATCCGAGGCAACATCTGCATAAAAATAACAAGAATTAGTGTGAACACATATAAACATAACTTCCAGATTAGATCAAGGCTGTAACAAAACCAGTTTCTAAAACAGAAAACATTAGCAAATTACAATGAAGTAAGACGTAAATCCAACAAAATCAGCACACTTTCCTCACACTAACACAACCAAAAAGTGTGGATTTTGATAAAACATACCAAGCAATAAAACGCGAGCAAACGTTGGAAACGCAACCCCTCGGTAAAACGTCTGGAACCAATCGTTTCTCCCATCTGCAGAAGGAACAACGGAGCTACAGACCTGAGTGGCAACCAAATACAGAGTCATAACTCATAAGTAAGCTATAGAGTCCCGAAACCAAGAACGATGTGGGCAAATTCAAATTATACAAAACACCGATAAATACAAACCCTTTCTCTGTAATTCTCACCAATACACCCTGCAATTTAATGGAGAACAGAATCAATAAGTTTCATTACAACGAAACAAACCCACAAACTAGAAGTATAAATTAACGACAAGTCTAAAATTTTTGACTAGAGAATGGACTTATGTGAAGTTATAGTAGAGGAAAGAGTGATTTCGATTACCGGAAAAAATCGATGGCTCAACCGGGAAGAGAAGAACGGCGATGGAATGAATAGCGGATAACACCTGGTCGACGTGCTTCGCATCACCAATCGAAGAAATGGCTTCTCCGACCTTGTCGAGCAAAATTTTCTCAAGAGTTCTCTCTTGCTGAGTCGCTTCGGCCATGGAGAAAGTCCGGGGAGTGTCAAATTAAAAATTCTTCCGTCGCCTCAACATTTGAGAAGAACAGTAAAACGCTGCGGTTTGATTTTTTTTAAAAAGAGCTACCAATACGACAACGTTTTGGAAACAAAAGAATTTAATCAGACATAACCGGGAAAAGTTAAACTCTACTGAGAAATCATGTAACCGGGAACTTTTATAACCAAAAAGAATAGCTCTCTCTCTTCTCTCTCCAAAACCTTTGAGAGAGATAGTAATATCAAATTATCTTTTTGTCTTCCGATCTCAATCTGTATTCCGTTTTAATCGGATTCTCTTTCGGTGTTAACCGATTTCTTTTCTTTAGGCTGCAATAAATTTCCGTTTAACGGATTAGTTTCTAGTCTTCCTTATGCATGTTTTTAAGCTTTTCTCATGGAAGGTGAAGCCAAAATCCGAAGGTGTTTAGAGTGGATTCCGTTTCATTGGTGCATGCTTGATTGTTCTTTCAAAGGAGAGTAATTTCTTCACAAATCCGATGTTGGATTATGTTGTGAAGTTTCTCTTTTTGATTGAAGAATTAAGTTTTGGGGATCAGTTCGTTGGATTTGAGAAGGATAAGCAGAGTTGGCGTTTTCTTAGCAGTCGGAAAACGGTCCGACAAATGTCCTGTTTTCAGATCTAATTGAAGATCTCGGGTTTTCTACTCCGATGTATTTGTGAAGATCCATCAAGCTTCCTTCGGTGATTAGTGCAGACGGAAAAAGCAGAGATACACAAAACAAGCTTCAAGATGGTGGTGGTCGGAGAGCTTCGCCGGCGGATGTACCGAGGAACTGGTCAACGACGGTGACGCTTCGTGTGATGCCACGTTTCTGAAGCGTGTTTCTTTAGCCTACACGTGTCAACGACGTGTCTAGCTTATAAAGCAGACTATTTAGGTTTCGTGATATGTTTGGGCTATTGTTGGGCCTCATCTGAATTTTGTGTATCACTGTTCTTGCCCATTGGGCTTCTATAATGAAATGGTTGAAAAAAAAAAAAAAAAGTCATGTAACCGGGAAAGTAATTTCTACAAAGTAATACTACTGGTAATCAAGTATTGACAACGAACGAATGTGAAATATCACTGCCACCAAACAGAATGATTTTTAAATGCTTATAGGCCCAACGTATCTACTTTCGAATCATTGTGGACCTCTTTCAACATTTCCAATCTAATATGGTATTGATTTTACTAATAAACCTCATATGCTTTTCTAGAAAAACACTGTTAAAATAAGACAAAATTAGATCAATCCGGGGCATGTAATCTAGTGATTTACTATTCATGTTGATGTCGCCATTCGTTTATTTAAGATTGTGGACCTGGTCCGAGACTGCTTAGTTAAATAACAAAAAGTTGATGGTCCCTTTTTATAATCAACTAAAATTTACTAATTGAAAAGTTATATGGCATCAGCCACCAAGTACTGTAACTAGATAATTTTTTAATCTTTGTTTCATTCTGTGACATCTGATTTGCTTCAAGATAAGTATATAAAATATTCGTGTCATCATAACTCAAATAAACAAAATCAAAAACTCCAAAATCATTCAAAATCAAGAAACAATAATCTTCTATCATAATCGATGTAGTCTCTTGCCCAACAAGTAACTAAACTTAGGACGAGTGAAACTACCGCCGAGGAACATATCGGCCATAACCTTATACATGCCCTCAGTCAAGTGGACTCCGTCCCAGTTAATGTATTGGCTCGGGTTCTTACACGCTGTCGCTGAAGCCGCCCCACACGTCTCGAACACTTGGAAGTTGTACGGCTCTCCGACTCCGCAGCACGCCTTGAACTTCTCGGTGATGCCGTACTTGCTAGGGTTTTGTATCACCGTACGGTACGCGTTCCAGTAATCTGCGTACACTATTGTGGCGTTCGGATACTTGATCCTGCAATGTATATAAAATATTAAAAGCACGTTAATAGAACAGCTAGACATTTTGTTTTTGGTTCTCTGTTTGCCTTGTTTTTAGATTAACTAGTTTAATTCAAGTTAAAATGATTTTAAAAGACTACGAATGTTTGTGGAAAGATTGTAATGGAGAAAAAAAAAGAAATCAAACTTTTCAATTATCAAGTATAGGACTTAAGACATCTGTTTACGTACCTATCAAATCACCTCTAAATACTTATGATATCCTAAAAAGTATGATCTTTTATCAAGTCGATCATACCAAATTTTTATGCTAATATATGAAAATATCAATTGAATAATAGTATAGTACGTTGATGGGTTTTTGTTTGTTTTTTTCCTCGAACTATGATGAGTTCCAATATGTTTTACTAACGTTCTAAAAATGACATCATATTATTAAAAAAACTTTTAAATAAATTATATATACACGCAAATTTTAAAATAAATCCCCATAGCTAGGTTCTATTCGGTTCATGTTGTTTAATTACCTAGGTTTGGTTTTAGTTTCGAGTTAAGTTTAGTAAAACGTGCCTCACTAATTTTGTAATCAACCCAGAGCCAGAGTATTAGTATAAAAAAAAACTGACCTAAGTTGTTTAAGTGTGGATTGTAAAGCAAGATTGTGAGTGTAACTCTGGTTATTGACACTTTGCACACATCCTAGTTTGTCCCGGTCGTCTTCTGGGGCCAGCGACATTGCTAACGTCAAGCATCCAGTCGCGGGATGTCCTTGTACCAACATATATTTCACACCTTTGTTCAGCATTGTCTGCAATTTACAGCTAGGAACGTTCATAATCCAAACATAATAGAACCAAACCAACCAAACCGGTCGGTTAAAAAACCTAGCATAATTTTCCACATTCACGGAGTTCTTGTTTTATCGAAATATCTCAAGCCACTACCTTAAGCATGACTAATCGGTTGGAGCACTTCTTTTTAGCATGACTTGCAATATATGCATAAATAAAATCTTCAGATCAATGATAAACTGTACGTTAACTATGGAATAAATTAATTTAATAGAAATATTACCTCCAAAAACCTTGTAAATATGGAAATACTACGTTCTCTAATGGTGTCGCTTGAAACAGTAGATCCAAGTGTGTACGCGTAGTCGTTCACTCCGATCTCTCCGATCCAAAACAGAGAATCTTTAAACAAAGAAACCTTCTGTTTCTCTCCAAGTGTCTCTAAATACTTGTCGAACCAGCCAAGCTGCGTCTCGATAGACTGTGGAGTCATATCAAACGTCAGGTTGTTCTTCCTGAAGAAAGCGTGTTTGATCACCGTTGCTCCAGAGACGGCGAAGTTAACGCCGTAAGAGTCCGTAGCGGTGCCGTTACTACCTTTAGTTGATCTGAGGTGGAGATACGGTGGCAGAAACGGCAAGTTCAACGACTGTGCCACGAAGTCGATGGTGAGACGTCCGTCGGAATAACGGTTTGTGGGTCGCTTGAAGTAAGTCATGCCGTATGGAGGGCTTGACAAGTGTCCGAATCCGGCGGGACCTTCGCCGGAGCGTGAGTTTCCGGTGTCGGTGAAAGAGTCGCCGAAGGCGTAGATTTTGCTGAATGGACGGCGGACACCGGAAACTGGCGCCGCCGAGGATATGGTGGAGAAGAGGATGATCGCGCCGGAGACGGCGGCTGCGATGATAAGAGAGATGGAGGAAGGCATTGTGAAAGGAGGTTGAGATTTGAATCAAAGCTTTCATGGGGTCGTTGTGGTATATATATGTCTAGTGTGGAGAGAAAGAAACAAAAAAAATTTGTATGCAAATGGTGTATTTTATTTTTTCAATTTAATATGTGTATTTAATTTTACGAATTTCGAGAGATAAGATCCAGAGTTTTTAAATAATAAGGGTAAAGTTTTTAATTGTTGTGCAGTGTGGTTTAAATAATTATATTTTCTGTATTATTGAACCAATAAAGAGCATAAGATAGTAATATTGTTTTCCGAGATTGCACTTTTTTGGCTAAGCAAATTAGTCTTTGTGTTCTTGACAACTACTGCATTCTGAACCTCTCAGACCAGTCGTCTTATCCTGAAATTCCAAAACACAGCCAACACCACTAGATTGTTGATTACGAATACTATCTAAATTATTTTTGTTAGATATCATCCAAGCCAATAAGCCACAAGCAATTTCATTATTCAATAGTATATGTTGAAAAGTACCAATGCACTGTACTTAGGGTCGGACCTAGCGTTCCATTATAGGCAATAACACAATTTACCTGAATACTTCATTAATATAGTCATATGGGCAGATATATTAGATAAGTTGTAAAAAAAGTAAATAGAAAAATGAAGTAGATGAGGCATGGAGATTGGAGAGGTGGTTAAATGCAGTTGGATGTGGAGAGATTTTTAGTTAGCCATTAAATATCACATCCACCTCTCATGGAAACACTCGCAACATGTCGGCTGTCGCAGCTACGAAATCCGGCGACTAAATTTTCATAGAAGCCGTATGTACAATGATGCATGTTCAAATTTGTAACAAATTAAATGAATAAAAAATATTTGATGAAATATGTTTTTCTCGGGGGTTCTGATTGTGGTAATTTCTTTTAGAAAACACATCAAGCTAAATAACGATTTACTTACTGGTCAATACAATTTCAAAAGTATACATATAATGATACTAAATTTTTATGTATGGGTTTGGGAACTACATAATTAAGACGATGAGTGGCGGATGAATACACCAAGATGTTAGCGAACAATAAACTTGTGTCAGTAAACTTATTTACAGACGTTAGCGAACAAACTATGCTTAAAAGTTAAAACCAAAAAAAAACTATGCTTAAGTGTAGTTAACTTTACTTAACCTTGATCGGTGATTAAGACTTTGTTCAAAGGAAACCTTGATCGGTGATTAAAAGTTACTGACGTTAACAAAAAAATAGAAATATAATCCTACGCCACGTATCAAATTACTACTAGTTTATTTTTTTTCACTATATCTTATCTATAATCTATTGACCACTGTTTATGTAAAATAGCTGAAATGTGCATGTGAAACAAATGATGCGAACGTAGAAGATGGTAGGTGCCTACAATCTGGCGTCTATTTATTGCGCTAAATTACAAGGATCCAAATTCGGTTTTTGTGCCATTTTGATCACATAAATTAATTAGATTTTCCCCAGCCAAAATTAAATAAATTTATTGGTAGTGAGATTTAATTCCTCGTAGCATTTTGACCAAAAACAAATCGAACATTCCTCATAGCATCGTTGTGAATGCTCTCTTATAAGAAAACTAGTCATGTACACATTGTTCTTCAATAAATTAATTATAGTTTCTAAACCAAAACTTCCAACCGAATAGTGAATGCTTTCTTTTTCATTTTCACACATACGTGGTGTTGTTTCCTGTTGTATCATGACAATGATTGTAATACTTATTACTGATTAGACGTTAGTTTCATTGATAAATATTGGCATAAATTAATAGGTTAGTACTACAGACAATTTCAATGGGAAGTACATTATACGTTTTCATTTATTTATATTGACATATGTTGTTGGACCATTATTTTTCTCCATTGTCGGTTACATTGTGCTGTCATCATAATTTAATTTTAGTGACCATAAGGTTCACAACCTAACGTGTCGCCAAAGCAGTGTGGCATTAAGTGTGAGCCCATTGATTAATCATGTTGTTAGAGCATCTCCAACCCCATCATGCTAAATATGACATATATGCTATTTTGCCATAATTTTTGCTCCAACCCAATTGCATATGCTATTGCAAAATAGCATCATGCTATTTTTGCTTCTATATTTGGCATGAGATTATGCAATATGCTATTTTGCCATTGAACTTTTTTATTTATAAAATAGTCCTTCAATTTGTAATTACTTTTAATTTAACAGTTTAATTATATTGATTATGATTTATTTAAATAAATAAACAATACTCATAACTTTTTCAAAATATAAATAATATTTATTTCATAGAAATATAAAAACATAACCATAATAAACTTAAATTTTATTTTTAAAAATACTGAAATTCAAAAAACATAAAACAATAGGTTAAAATCTTTGTTTTCTATAATTTTTATGTAATATGATGTATTTTGTTTTAATATATAATAAAATAAATAAATATAATTCTGGTTGTTTTTGCAAAAAAGAAAAACAAATGATTCACTTTGTAAAATTTGAAGAAATCAAGTAGTTTTAACAATTAATAATAAGTTGGAAAAAAATTATAGCATGATATATGGCATGAGGGGTTGGAGAGAAACCCAATGCTATTGCTATATTTTTGCCATTTGCAATAACATATGGCATGAGGTTGGAGATGGTCTTAAAAAAAAATTTAGAAGGTAGTTGGATTGATAGTGATAGAGATCGTGATAATATCTACGTCAAAGGGAGAGATCTTGACCGGTCGGTCATTGGTGTTGTTCCGGTGTTTTACATTCTCGAGGGGGTCATCAATAGTTAATGCTTGTTTTTTTTACAGCAGATATTACTGATTCCTTTATTTCTTTTTTAATTCTACATCTCGGTAAAAAAAATCATTTCTCAATGCATTCATCTTTAAACACTTGGTCTACTTGATTCATTTTCGAACTTAGAGAGTGACAATTCATAGGAATCTCAAGCTATTCACACATTGGTTCCTCGAAACCCATCGTGTCGGCTAGCTCCCTTATGTCCTTATGAAATTTTGTTAAGTTTCAGATGTGTTTGAAATTTGAGAGCTATTTATTTACACTTGTTATTGCGATTATGGGATAAATCTTATTACGGGCCTAGAAAAACAAAACCCAACAATGGCACACCCGTAGTTTCGTAGTCTTTTATTTCCACTAGTTCTGTAAAGTTATTTTTTGGCTTGAGGGACTTTGCTTTTAGGCTTGAATTACGCTGTTAGTGTTTGACCATCATTAGCGCC